CTCGTTGCACCTGGAATATAAATAAAAGTCTTTAATACCACGAAAACGTTGCGTAAAAATGGGAATTATTTATATATAAACATATCGAAAAATAAAAATTTACGCTTATCTTCGCCGTTTTTTTTAGTTTTATTACATGGTAATAAAAATTGATATAAAAAGGCAAAGTGTACGAGGGTTGTGCACTGCCGGTAAATAAGAAAAATAGTGCCTCGAAAAAAAAGTATGGTTGGCACACACATAGCTAAGTTGAATATGACTTCAGATACTCTGGGAACCTGACGGTTCGACCTGATCGTGTTTTTTGTTGCGCCGCTGGTTGTTGCAGCTGTGCATTACCAGGCACATCGTCGAGAATTTCGATAATTGAGTCATCCGTCGGTCGGATGTAGCGAGCTGAAACGTCACTTACAATGGGGTTGCCTTCGAAATAAGCTGGTTTCAAACGGTCGATACTGACAGTATCTTCACGTCCGTCTCGCTCAATTATATAGAATTTCTCATGTCGCTTAATCACTTTGAACGGCCCGTCGTAGGGTGGTTCAAGTGGTCGACGAACAGCGTCGTGGCGAACAAACACGTGTGATGTCTTCTGTAAACTGGGGTGGACGAAAACATCAGTCGTTTGCGGTCTAATCGGAGAAGGCCTAACTGAACGCATTGCGTTTGTAAGCCTAGTCACGTAAGATGCCCTGTCGGAAACATGTTTGAAAGTTGAAGGGGAAACAAACTCACCTGGTAGGCGAAGAGTGGTCCCATAGACGAGTTCTGCAGGGGTGCATCCAGCATCAACTTTCAACGCGTTACGAATACCTAGTAGGACTAGAGGCAGAGCCTCGGTCCACTGAGGTATGTTTGTAGCTGAAAGGGAAGCTTTCAGCTGTCGATGGAAACGCTCTACCATGCCATTTGCTTGTGGATGGTAGGCTGTCGTTCGGAACCGAGTGCAACCTAAAAGTGCCGTTAGAGCGTGAAATAATCCACACTCGAATTGGCGCCCACGGTCGGTTGTGACGTAAGATGGACATCCGAAGTTCGCGATCCATCTTTCGACGAAAACACGAGCAACTGTTTCAGCGGTAATGTCCTCAATAGATACTGCTTCCGGCCATCGTGTGAAACGATCAAAGCAGGTGAAAAGGTAGGTACATCCAATAGATTATCGTAGTGGTCCTACAATATCTATATGGACGTGGTCGAAACGCATGTCTGGGGCTAGAAAACAGCCTAAAGGGCTTTTCGTGTGTCGCGTGACTTTACACTTTTGACAAGCTAAGCACGACTGAGCCCACTCCTTAACGCCTTTGTTCATCCCAGGCCAGCAGAAACGTTGTGCGATAAGCCTAATGGTGGCTCGTACACCTGGATGAGAGAGTTTGTGCAACGTATTGAAGACGTTGCGTCGACAACTCTTCGGAACTATTGGGCGTGGTTGACTAGCAGAGACATCGCACAAAATTGCATCCTTGTCTGATCCAACAGGACAAAGTCGCAGTTTGAGAGTTGTGGACGACAACTCATGATGCAGCTCAAGGTCTTCCTTTTGACGCCGAGCTAGTTCAACGAGATCAATACCCTCGATATAGTTTATCGAAGCTATTCGAGATAGTGCGTCGGCTGCGGAGTTGTTTGCTCCAGAAATGTGGCGGATGTCTGACGTGAACTGGGAAATGTAATCCAGCTGTCGCGACTCACGAGGGGAGTATTTGTCAGACGCCGAGCTGAGGGAAAAGGTTAACGGTTTGTGGTCTGTGAAAATAATGAAATCACGACCTTCCACAGAATGTCGAAAATGGCGTACAGAACAGTACATGGCTAGGAGTTCCCTACCAAATGTACTGTATCTTGTTTCCGCGTCTTGCAGCCGCCTCGAGAAAAAGGCTAACGGTTGCCACTGGTTGTCAGTCAACTGTTGCAAAACTGCTCCAATTGCTGAATCAGATGCATCAACAGCAATACTCAAAGGAGCATTGGGGTCATGATGCATAAGCATGGTTGCGTTCGAAATGGCTTCCTTGACTTTAGAGAAAGCAAGTCTAGCCGCGTTGTCCAGAGACACGAACTTCGCAGTTCCTCGAAGTAGATCTGTGAGTGGTCTCATGACAGAGGCACAGTTAGGGATAAACCTTCGGTAATAACTTACCAGGCCATTGAAAGTGCGGAGATGTTTCACAGTGGTCGGCTCTGGATAGTTTGTGATAGCCGCCACTTTATCTCTCAATGGGCGTATACCTTTGTTGTCAATGGTATGCCCAAGGAAGCTGAGTGATTCAACTCCTATTTCACACTTCTGTAAGTTAACTGTGATGCCATGTTTTTTAAGTCTTTCGAATGCGAGGTCCAAATGTTTAAGGTGTGTTTCCTTATCTGGACTCGCAATTAGACAGTCATCGATGTAGACATGAACAAAATTCAGACCACGGAAGACATCGTCCATAAAGCGTTGGAATGTTTGTGCTGCATTCCGAAGACCAAAAGGCATGCGCAGGAATTCAAACAGGCCAAAAGGAGTAATAATGGCTGTTTTCGCGATATCTTCTGCTGCCATAGGTATCTGGTTGTACGCTTTGACCAAGTCGATTTTCGAGAAAATGTTCATGCCGCATAAGGTTGCGGTCAAGTCGTAAACGTGAGGTATAGGGTAGCAGTCCGGAGTTGTTTTGGCGTTAAGCCTTCGGTAATCACCGGTCGGACGCCAGTCGTTGCTATCCTTTTTGGGAACCATGTGCAATGGCGATGCCCAAGGACTGTTTGACGGTCTGATAATGCCCAGTTCGAGCATATGGTCGAATTCATTTTTCGCCGTTTGCAGCTTATCGGGGGCTAAACGGTGCGCTTTGGATGCCACAGGTGGACCTGTGGTTGTGACGTGATGCATAACATTGCTGGTTATGCACGGAAGAGTGTGCTTCGGTTGCTGTAACTCTGGATATTTCTCCAGAACTGCCTGGTAGGACGCGTCGCCTGATTGTTTAGTCCTAACGATGGCTAAACTCGGACCTACATAGGTGGTGCCGCCAATGGATAACTTTGTGTTGTTATCTATCAGTCGTCGACGGCGAGCATCTACGAGTAGATCGTAATGGTTTAGCAAATCTATGCCAATGATTGGCATAGAGACGTCAGCCAGGAGGAAGATCCAGTGGATAGGTTTGCGTAAACCTAAGTTGAGGTAGGCATACCGTCTCCCGAATGTCGCGATTGCCTTGCCGTTGGCTGCTTGAAGATTGAAGGATGGGTCGAGATGACGCTCCTTTGTCGTTGCTGGAAGAACGCTAACTTCTGCGCCGGTGTCGACGAGGTAGCGGACTTTCGTTTTAATGTCGGTGACGTAGAGCAAACGGCTTTTTCCGCCGGCTACGGTTGCCGTGAGCACGTGCCGGCGTGACCGTTTCCCGAGTTTGTGTCCTTCTTAAAACGGCATGGTTTACGACATTTTCTGGCTTCATCCCCGTAAGTGTTATGAAACCAGCACCATTCAGGGTTTTCCACCCTGTTGGGTTTCGTTTTAGGGCTACCACGCGACTTGCTGCGATGCGCCAAGGTGCGTTTCTGTGAAGTGCTACGTGATCTAGGACTTCGAGATCGTAGCAACCGTTTCACAGAGTTGCACAACTTGGTCACCTCTGAATCCTGGCGCTCTGGTTTGTCGCAGATAGAATATACGTTGGAGACGGGTCTGCTGGATATCTCCAGTATTTTATCTGCTGAGGCTGCCAGGTCGTCGAGTGGGACTGACTGGAGTGTCACCAACACGGTTTGCACCGGTTGTGGTAGTTTCGAGAGAAATAGTTCTCGGAAGAAACCATCGTCAAATGTTCGTGCACCGATTACTTCTCGCATGCGTGCGAGGACTTCAGTAGCTGAGTGGCTGCCTAGCTCGATGTTACGAAGCAATTCGTCTAGACGTTGGCGATCTGTGAGATCGCTTTTCTTCAAGAGTGCGGCCTTTAGAAGTGCATAAGGGTCACTTACTTCAGGATTAAACATGTTTGCTGTAACATACCTGTTTAATTCTCGCGGTAGTGACCGTATGACAGCAAGAAATCGAGAATGAGGATCTGAGACACCCTGTTCTCGAAAATCGGCCTCGGCATACAGAAACCATGTTTCTGCATTGTCTGGCCAATATGGCACGAGTTGGATCGTGTTCGAGGTCGGCTTAATACGAATAAGCTTGGGAGTGTGGTCGGACATGAGAAAGTGTAGTAAATGGATATATAAATGTTATCGAAATGAAAACAATAAACAAATATAAAATGGAACAGGCTCACCAATTCAATACTTGTTATTGGTCGGGATATGTAATCACGTCGGGCTCACCAATTTAGGATTTGTCCTGGTGCGAACTTGACAGACGCAAAGACCAATCACTAATTATTCGAACTTGTTATATACCCACGAATACGAGACCAAGGAAGAACACGATAGCGTAGTCGGATGGAATAGTATATTTGGATGGTTATGCCAAAATACCGATGCGTTCCAACTAACTGGCTAGAGAGTCGAATACGAGCAATGCAACGTAACACGACAGCGTGCCAAATGGCGAGGATGCTTGACCGGGTGCCTTCAGCTTAGCGAGTCCAGTTAAACTATCAAGGTCAGCATCAATGTCGAAAGTCGTCAAACCCTAAGCTATTAATTTTGGGGGAGTGTGTGACGCTACAAACCTCTACAAAGACCGCCCGTTCTCTTACGAGCCATGAATAGAAAAACCAAATGCATCAAGCTACTTAACTAATTTGATTGAGTGGTTATTTCTGTTCTTCTAGGTTTCTTTGATCCAGGAAAGAATGAACATCCTAAATATAGAGAGCATTCCACTAAGGTAGACATAGAAACCAAGGAACCATTGTTCGCTTTTTTACAACTTGAAGTCTGAAGATTGTATTTGGAGTTTGAACCTCAAGACCTAGAAGTGAGTGCTCAAAAACTACAAGTTTCTTCTGCTCATCTTATTCACATTGAGTGTTGGATTTGCTGACTTCGTATTTCTCGAGGTTTTTCGATGCGCTGGAAACAAAAGCCACATTTAACCTTGACATCATGGTCCGATTTCATTTCGTTTAGGGTTGTATACTCCTGTTATCATCACTGTCTAAGTTTGTTGTGCTACTTGAAAGTCTACTTGATAATCAATTCCTGCACTTGGTAGTAACAATAACCTGTAGCTTGGGATCTCAAAAAAAAGTCTTTTGGCTTACTATTTTATTTTCTTTTATTTCCGAAACGCCCATAATTCAGACACATATCCTTTTGTTGCACTAAATTCAGGAACTTCAATCAAAACTAGATAGAATTATTTTATAGGCGTACAAAATGACTCATCAAGCTGTAGCTCGTCCACTTTCTTTCTGGATAATCATAAATTATCCCATCGCACGATCGCTAAGAATTGTAAATATAAGCAGTAAATTCCGCTTACAGCGTCATCCTGTAAATAATACAGTCTCACTGTGCCATTTCAGATAAGCAGTCTAATATGGATTTACATCCTACGTGGTACCACAATGCCCAAGTTTTACTCTTGAATTCTCGTTGCAGTTCAGTTTGCTTCTTTGTGACAGAAGCGCTTTTGAATATTTATGACAACATTGGTTCTTAGTTGCGAACTCTAGGCTATTCTACACGTTAAGAAAAGTTTTTTGCTTACACTTCAAAACAATATTGTTTTGGAGTATCGATATTAAATAATTCGTACATCAAGAGAAGCCACATTTTGTGAAATATTTGTAAGAAAGGTAAGAATTATTGTGAATGTTTAGAAAGTTGCTGGAAGTAGTGAAATATTGTAGTCAGTTTAGGGAATAACAACAAATCACTGGGTGAGATTAAGGCTCAATATATGATAAACTTGTTCTGAAATTATATGTGCTAGAGTGATTTTTAAATGAAATATAGATCTTTTGGTTTGACTAGACCTGACCTATAATCACCGTTGTCTATACTAAGACCCAGATACAAATGTTCAAAACTTTGAATTTCCTATACTCACATGGTTGATATTGAATGTTAGCAGGCATTTTCTTGTAGGAATGCATGAAATTTGAGAAAATAGTCGCCAAGGCCCAAGTGGTTCACAGTATTGAGTTTATACAGATACAGTGGTTACTGAGAATGTATGCCCACTGGGAATACCAGCATCAGTGGCTTGAAGATGCGTTACGCGTATCATCTCAACGACTTCCATACCGCTTGTTGTTTACCAACACTCGGACTGGGGAGAAAAAGCGGAGTAGTCAGGGTACGAAGTGGTACTTGGATTCAGGATAGTTGTATCAATTTATCATCTCTTGGTGCATCACAACTACCTGGATGGGGTCCGAAAGACCCAAATGTACCACTAATTTAAAATTACTGCTTGTTAATATAAGCAGTGGGGGAACTGTATGTTTCCTGAGTACAGAACGGGAAGTAGTAAAAAGGAGACTGTTGTGAAAGACTGAATTTATGACTTGACATCAGTCTAGCTGTGGATACACAACCTGTTATTAACATATGTTACTCAACCTTAGTTACATAAGTTCCTCACTTTCTAACATTTAAGCTCCAAGATGCATGACAACATAGCCCGATGGACTCTGCCGTGGCTGACAAGCTCAGCTGCAGATCACTGCTGTCCCCCAAATGCCCTCTTATGCGCTCAAAGTCTCTACCAGGGAAGTCTTATTCACTGCCTTCACTTGGAGGTGTTCCCACTAAAGTGAAAGGGCGGAAGCAAATATCTGGTACTTAGTACCGGGTTCGTGAATACTGAGGGTCCACCTAGGGAAGTTGGATAACCCTGATTCCAAATCAGTGATGCATATGAATTCCATATTCCGAAAGAAATGAATGGTGTATGAGCTTCTTTTGGTCACCGGCAACCGTGGGAATACAGCTACTGATGTTTCCCCACTGCCTTGTGGATTAAGCTCAGGGTTTGGTCCCCTAAGACAACCACCTGCTTTGGTTTTGGCACCCGGACAGTATCTCACACTTCACATAAAATATTTAAATACAATGTACAATGAAGATTTTGAAGCGCTCACCCAACTTTTTTGGAAATATTCAAGCCTTCCGCACTGCAAACACTATAACTAATTGTTCAATTTATTGTTACTACATTTTGTTAATGTTCGTGTGTATAAACCTTAATTTTTACCATTATCACTTTCGCTTGTATTAATCTTCACTTAACTCAGCTGTTATCCAGTCCATTATCTGACACAGCTATCCTAAAAACTCGCCACCAACGTTCGCACCTTGATGCAGATCGGACAACAGAGAGGTTTGACTAGGACTCTGAAAAGCCTCACTATTGATGTATACTGCATCTCATAGACCCGCATACAAGATTCCAGTTAAATGCCTCGAATAAGTTCCCCATTTGTTGGCTGGAAAAATGTTTCATGTATACTTATGCGGGAACCCTGTGGCATCGGAAACCGCCTTCGCTGGTCTCGGTGTCGAACTTAGTGCTGGAATCAGAGCTGCACGTTTTGACCGCATCCCCATCAACAGTCATCTGCATGCTGTTAGGCTAGAAAATTCATCTCGAGAAAGAAGTAACCGCCAAGAAAAACAGTATCTCTTTGTCATTCCTGCCTATTCCCCTACAGATTTCAGCACTTGCAAGACGCCATGAAAATAGCGAGTAAAGCTGCTCGCAGCTTGAAAGAACGTCCCGCTAGTAAGCACTAGATCTCTGTGAGCTCCCTGTAACTTCTCGACGCCCGGCGGATAGCTAGTTATAATTTGCGTAAGAGGCTTACCCAAAAGACTGCACAGTGCTTACGCAAGGACTATAAGGCTTGGTAGTCAGAACATGTGAGATAGAAGCAGCTGCTTCATTAAGCAATAGTCAGAGCTGTTTCAGCTCATCCAAGCCACTGACAGCAACAACTCTGGTGTCGGTGAGATGGTTTGTGAGGTATATGGTATGCCGATAAACATTCTTCACAGACGCCAGAAATGCTGGACGGAGCACTTCAAAAAGCAGTTTAGCTGGTCTATTGCCCCGACATCCTCAGTTTTGGTGTGTCTTGCTGCATGGTCAGTTAACACTGACCCACCTAACGAAGCGGAGGTCTATAAGGAACTCCAAGTTCTGAAACACCACAAGGCACCCAGTTCAGACAACTTACCCACGGTTCTTTTTAAGAACAGATGAACATTACGTAGACCCTTTTTAAAGATAAACATAATCATTGCCTCATTACAGAGTGTTAAAACACAGTCTGCTATACCTCCTAAAATTAATCTAATCAGTTCCTTGACCGAGCCAGGTGGTTGTCTTAGGGGACTAAACCCTGAGCTTAATCCACAAGGCAGTGGGGAAACATCAGTAGCTGTATTCCCACGGTTGCCGGTGACCAAAAGAAGCTCATACACCATTCATTTCTTTCGGAATATGGAATTCATATGCATCACTGATTTGGAATCAGGGTTATCCAACTTCCCTAGGTGGACCCTCAGTATTCACGAACCCGGTACTAAGCACCAGATATTTGCTTCCGCCCTTTCACTTTAGTGGGAACACCTCCAAGTGAAGGCAGTGAATAAGACTTCCCTGGTAGAGGCTTTGAATGCTTACACGGGCGTTTGGAGGTGCATCTCTAATCCTTTCGACGTACGAAACGCGTTTTCCAGCCATTTGGGCTTCCAAAGGTTCCCAACCTCAACAACTGACATCCGTATTCTGCGTCATACTCTACTTGTGGCTTCCAAATTATCGACATGGGGGTCCCACGACACACGGCCTATGCTACGCAAAAAACGGCGGTCGAACACCTGGTCCCCCCTCATATCCTTCATCTTCAATGGTCATATTTCACAGCCATAAAGTGGAGCAGTGAAAAACACTGGACAGTTTATGCAGTCACTAATAGGTGAGTGAATATCGTGCCAGCATCGTAATGGTGTAAATTTGCAAAGGTCAAACTACCGTTTTACGTCCATACCGAAATTTCGTCGGTCGCTGACCCACCAGCGAATTAAGTGAAGTGGCCAACGTGCACAACCATATAAACTGCCTACTGTTAGACAAGGCACTAGCGAAGACCAGTCCTTGAGTGACGACTTGCATTTGAGTGATGAGAAACGCATTCAAAACATACCCTCTAAACCACTGATTAACTTACCTCATTTACTTTGCTCCCATACAATCCAGTTTGTCTTTCAGAGTATAAATTCAAAATGTTATGTTCCAGGTTGTCGGTATAAAGCTGACCTCTCTAACAGAAGTCAATAGAGTGGGTCGGAACATGTAACCTAATGATTCGAATTTGAGTGTCTGTTTGAAAAAGTAGGGGTTATTTTTCTCTTCCTCTTGAGTATTTTATCAGTAAACTTTGGGTAAAACTCAATTGCAGTGACCATTGTCTTTGTTGCATATGGAATAATTGATTTCAACTCAATTTGTGAAGTAGATGCTGGTGTTGGCAACAAACCTGCTGATGAAAGGATCATGGTCAGGTTCCAGACGAAATGAAATTGTTCTCATTCTGATTTACAACTTTTCCAATTCAAATGAAGCACAAATTGTATTTTTAAATTCCTCTTTATAATTTATTTCGCTAATTTACCGGGAAATAGTTGTTTTTTAAATGTTTTATTTCACCATATTAGGACTTTTTGTCATCACTTCAGGCATATTATCCTTCAGATCTTTTTATTGTTGTTTCTTTTACTTCAGCATCTTACATCATTTGTTGATTGTTAATATGTCAAATGATGATTGTAATTTCGATGATATTCAAAGCTTGGAGATGGAATTCCTCAATTCCATGTTTGAAGGCACTCCAAATCATTCTTTGTTGAAGTATGATAAGGTATCACGTTGTGGATCTTTTATATTTCATCCTCACTTCCCGCAACCTATCGAATTAGTTGGACCAAAAACAAAAATGAAGCTAAGAAATGATTTCACCATCGAGTCTGCACCAGATGAGACAAATAAATACCGCTACATTCTACAGTATTTACCTATAATTACTTTAACTTTTATTCTGCCATCAAGTTACCCTGGACTTATTCCTAATGTATCAATACCGAAATTCTCTTTGTCATCTATTTGGTTGCCTATTAGTATACTTAGTGAATTGGAAAGAAAACTAACCGAAATAGCTAATGATAATCTGGGTGAAATAACTCTTTCTTCGTGTATAGAGTTTCTTCAAAATGAATTCTTCCACTTCTTGATTAACAAAGTCGATGAAAATCATGAATCCAACACATTTGACCTTTTCAAATTCTATGCATATTACACAACAGAAATGAAGTTTCCTATTCAAGATTGTTGTGATTTTTTGCTTTCCAATAATGATGACCGATTGGATGTTGAATTTAACGAGTCTCTAATTGAATGTCCTGTGTGTTTTGACACTAAGAAAGGCAATCGATTTGTCCGTTTTATGAAGTGTAAATGTGTTATATGTCGAGACTGTACAGTTGAGTGTTTTAAGATTGCAGTAAAAGAATCATTATTTAATGGAGCGTTATCATGCCTGAATTGTAATGAAGAAGTTAGTCACTCAGAAGTAAGTCTTTTACAAAGTTTGTCTTTGAAACAATATTTTAGCTTCGTCTATTATTGTATTTCAATGAGTAGGTTTGTTTTCAGCGAATTCATCTTCTGCAACTGAACAAATGCATTTAAATATAACTTGCACATAAAATGTCAATATTTGTTAATCAATAGTTGTGACTTGCAGAAAGTACTTCAGTTTTTCAGCCAATATCACCCTTCCACCAACTTTACAATAGAGATGAAATTACACTCAAAGATACCATTGATCAACGTGTTCTCAACAAGAAAAGATGATGAGACGCTTAAAAGATCCATTTATCAAAAATCTGCGTGGAATAGACAAATGACAAACGCGATTCTCATCAACTAAGAATTAGATTTAATCCATTCCCTTTCCTCTCAAATCTGGAAGATCACATCATTATTTATTATTATTTGTTTCATATTGAAACTCCATTTTAGTCTGTTTATTAAAAATACAATACGGTGAAACAGTATCACTTACTAGATAACGTTTCAGACATCATTTATTGTCCATATTCATATCAGGCAACTAGCTCCACAACTTCGAGACAGAGTTTACATGGTTCTAATCTCCTCTCCTTCTTCGTGATGACAAGGGTAGTACAATTTTCCATATATTTTGGATAGGTGCAGAATCATTTCCATTACTGAATGTATTTGGTGTTGGTTTGATAAACAAAGACCCGGTTATCAATCTCTCCCTCCAACCAAGTTAGTTTTTAACGCTGTCGCTCTATCCCACCCTACTGTGTGATTGTGTGCAGAGCTACAGCCAAGCTTTTCTCTAAATTTCTTATCTTATTAGGATCTACTAATCTTGATTTAGCTAAGTTTTTGTGATCTGTTATTCTAATTGACCCTAGTCGGCTACTCTGACCTTTGTATTTGACCTCGCAATCATTGCAAGGGATTTGGTAAACCAGATTATTTTGCTTGATTGCATTGATAGGATCTTTTAACCTACAAAGCTTGTTTCTAAGAGAGTTTATTGACTTAAATGCCACTTTAATCCCAACCTTATTGAGAATCCTTCGTAATGCTCCTGAGGTGTCTTCCTCGTATGGTAACACAGCGGAGGCTTTGAATTCTCTCTCAACCCTGTCAGCATTAGTAGTAGAATGATTATTAATAACACCTGTATTACTACTACTACTGCTAATATTTTTCTTTCGATTTCTTGTGAATTTATTTATAGGCTTAGGTGGGTAGTTACTAGGACGCAGGGTGTTCTTGGTGTGTCTAATTTATTTGTCTTAGATTTTCTGGCATATGAGTAAGCTTTTCACCTTGTCACTTAGGCATTTAACTAAAGAGGAAGAGATTGATGACCGAATCTTTGTCGAATCAACACACAATAGAAATGATTCTGCACCTGTCCCAGACATATGAGAAATCCTACTACCCTTGTCACGAAGGAGAGGAAATTAAAACGACACAGAACGCCTCAAAGTTTTGGAGTTACCTGATATGAATATGGACAATAAATTATGTCCAAAACATTATCTAGTAAATTATACTGTTTCACTAAGTGACATACCTAGTAAACAGAGTAAAATGGAATTAAAATCTACCACAGTTCCCAAGTTTTACTCCTATAATAATGATACGGACTGATGATTGAAGATAAAATGAAAAAATATGGACTGTGGCCGGACTCGAAGCAGCGACGACCGGGTTTCCGGCCCGATGCTCTACCAACTCAGCTACAAAGTCCTACTGCTGACCAGATTTTCATTTCAATCACCAGAGGTTTTGCCCGACTACTGCGTGAATTCATGAAGCCTTACTGCCGCTTCATCGTATTTACACTGGCTGCGTGGTCAGGGCTTCTCATCCCAATCGAAATGTAATTGAATTAGAGAGGGGGAGCATCACATTGATTATCATTTGACTATCTGAGACAGTCGTAGTTTGGCAGACTATTATTTATACTGGGTGATGATGAAAGTGAAATGAAAATGTGAACCACGGCCGTAGCTTAGTTGGTAGATCATCGGGCCAGAAACCCGGTTTTCGCTGGTTCCAATCCAGCTGGGGTCCAAATTTTCATTTCACCTTCAATCATCACCCAATATAAATACTAGTCTGCCGAACCACGGCTATCTCAGATAGTCAAAAAGATAATTTTATGATAATATTTCATATTGAGTTAATGCGAGTATAATATTAGTCTTTATAGATTGCATGGCTGAAAGACAGCAGTACAATAAATGGAAGATAAAAGAATTTTAGAAAATCAACACATTCTTACAGGCACTTAAATTATCTGTCTACTCATCCTTTGACCACTAAACTAATAGTCGCACAAAATCTGATCAGCGACGCTAAGCGTCTTCTTACAACATAAGAGGATAAAGTCAGTTTTACCGTACAGTGGAAGCAAATAACTATCCCAAAGATTTCATAAAATGATTTTTTCTAGACGAAATTAAGGATGCACTGAAGCTCTCTCCGAAGAAATGGGTAAACACAATAATAATCCCATATCATAAGGAGATATCGGAAGAAATGAAAAGGATTCTCAACAAACATGACATAAGAGTTTACTTTCATGCAACAAATACCCTACGCTCTAGCTGTATGCAAGTTAAAGATGTAGTACCGAAAGAAAATCAACAGACCTGCGCTTATAAAGCCAAATGCGCAGATTCTAACGCAGTATATGTGTGGGCGACAGCTAAGCAAGTAAATGTAAGAGTGAATGAGCATAGAGTATGCCTAAACTAGATTCCGAAAACCTCAGCAGAGGTTAGGAAGCTAGAAAACAAATCGGAAATCACTCTACATCCCCATAGAAATCGGCCACAAAATTGACTTAGACGGAACCAAGGTTCTACAAAAAGGTTTTCCGTCATACCAAAAGACATTGACAGTCAAAGCCCTACGTATATGAGTAAATACAGATAGTTTGAACAGACGAGATAGATTATAGTTCATTGCCTCTTGGGACTTGTTGGTAAGTAGGAAGAGTGACTCTACTAGTTACCTTCAACACCAGTCTCATCTTCATTATCTCTGCATCATCTACAACAACATACAATATGGAATGATTTGATTCATTGTTATCATTATCGTCATCTCCGTCATTATTACCATTCATCTCCTCTGTTTCCCGATAAATCAATGAAACGTTCGTGAATACTATTCAGTCACATACACCAACTGAAGTGACATACACATCCACCTCATATACCCTATTGTATTATAAAACTGATACCAGGTGATGATTGAAGATGGAATGAAAATTTGGACCGCGGTGGGATTCGAACCAGCGATCAACGGGTTATAAAATTACCGAATGACTGTTATACGAACTTTTATGTCTCCTATTTACAATCAAGGAGAATGATGAGTAACAACACACACTAGGCATACAACAAGAGACATACAATTTGACACTGATTGATTAGTTATCATATTCTAGAAAGACAATGACTATAAAAAGAGGGTTGGACAAGGAGGTTAAATACACGTCTTTGAATTCATTTATATCAATTTTTATGTTTTAATTGTTGATGATTTCCCTGAAAAAGCTCGGACCAGACTTCCGTACGAAACAATGTCGAAATTATTTTATTTCAAATACACTGTGACTTAAACAAATACAAACTTTACCTCGTATTTCTAAGTTCGATGTTTATTGTGCACTCGTACTTTGTATTGTTCAGTGTGTTACCCCCTACAAATCTGGATTGCATGCAAAGATAATCGTCGATGCATATAGAGTTTCATTTAATCTTCTTTTGTAAAGGGCTGTTGCATTCTTGTTCGCAACTATGAGTAATTCGGTTCAGGTGCAGTCAATAATGTCTTATTTCTACTTCATAAAATCTATGGTCTAGCGTAAATGTACATGTGTGACAGAAAACAGTGGATAGGTATTTTTGTTCCTAGTTTGGTGATTAGTAGTACATACCCGTTGTTAGGTTAATGCAGTTACAAACCTCTTCATTTGTATGTTGTGAATTAAGAAGGAAAAAAATCTTTAATGCTTGCTCCTGCTGTCCTATAAAAGACGACGGTAATACACAACACTTGTATATGGATCTGTGGATTATATGATCCTTCACAAATAGGGGGAAATGAACTCACTCAAGTTAACTTAAAGCAATCAGTGATGAAAAGAATATGAAGGGTGGATCATGGCATAAAAAAGCAATACTTTTGTAAACTTCAGGATCAAAATCTGACTTGGTAGAGTTGAATATGTTGAGCATAAGGTAAATGGATTATAAATGAAATATATTTGTAAAATCCCAATGAAGTAGAAAAGTAAATTGCTGACGTTTCGTGACTTCATAGAAATCGCTTCTTCAGACAATAAAACCTGTACAAGTTATTGATTATCTTATTCGTCACATTTTGCTATTTAAAGAATCGATAACTTGTACAGGTTTTATTGTCTGAAGAAGCGATTTCCATGAAGTTGCGAAACGTCAGCAATTTACTTTTCTACTTCATTGGGATTTTACAAATATATTTCATTATCATTTGACTATTTGAGGTAGCCGTAGTTTGGCAGACTAGTATTTATACTGGGTGATGATTGAACGTGAGATGAAAATCCAGTCGCGGTCCATATTTTCATCTCACCTTCAGTCATCACCTAGTATAAATATATTTCTTTTATAATAAAAAAAGCAGCTCAAAAATGGTAAATTTAATTGTGCGAATGTATGTATTCTTATGAAGGGGATTATTGCTGCTTCCTAGTACATTCAACATTGGATGTGATTGAATTCCACACGTAGATATCAACATTTCCAATCTGGATTAGTTTGCGTCATAGTGTAACTATATAATACTTACATTATAGTTTGCAATAAAACTGAAGGCAGCAACTGTATGATTATTAACTAATCAGACTGTCTGAGATACAGATAGATAGACAGACAAAATCAACGAAGAACCCCGTACATAAGAGCATCGCTTCAAGTTGCCACGCTTCACAGTAGTGGTACACTAAGAACAGTTGGATAGAAAAAGTGATATCATAGTAGATAAAGTTGTGTAAAAGAACAAACAATTTGATGATTACAGTCAGTGCGAATATTCAAGCTTTAGAAGACGTCGAAAAGTGGATATATGTGCGCCATCTAGAGTCCTCAACTACTGATTCCTTTCGTCTCGAGGACCCCAACCAGGCGGTTTACGCTTCCCAATACGACTCAAGCAAGTAGTAAGAGACTCCATCGATTGCCGCCAGGTCTTGGTCTAGCCATCCTGAACCCTCTCCCAACTTCCTCCGGCATTGCACGTTGAGGTAGGCGGTGGATCGGCATGCGTAACAGATGTCCAAATCACCTCAGTCGATGAAGGTTCACATCTCCATCAATCGACTTGCCTAGTACCTTTCGCTGAACCTCAACATTGCTCACACGTTTATTCCACCATTTGCGAGCAACGCCACGAAGACACTTATGATGCAACCGTAGTTCGATAGATTGGTGGGTGGATTGCTTTGCTTACACCTGTGATGACTGAAAGTAGAAGACCTGACTGGTCGTTATGTTATATGATGGATACCCTACATTTCTAACTGATCATTACCGAGTACAAAGGTAACGTGAACATGATATATCCACATATTACTAGCTTCCTATAAACTTGAATATTGCATTATTTTGATCTTTATGGCATTTCTGATTGATTTGCATTTTAACAAATGAATCCAGAGCTTAAATAAGATTCAACTATTGCTCTACTTTTTTTTTATATACTCCTTAGCATAAGTTTTATCCTTCATATTATTGAATAGTATAGGGGACAGGAACTAGTAGTGACTAGTTAGTTTCAGCCATTAACTATCGATTTTTGAGTCACAGGTTCTAAATTTGATGAACTTATAAAGTTTGGGCTGTTAGGTGTTATAACTAGCCTTCATAGAATAAGTTTGAACTCGGAGCCTCTACTACGTGCGCCTGTTTGTGGTTGGTGAGTTTCATTACTCGGGAAGAGAGATAGATGTAATCTGTCCCTCTGTCAAAGATAACATCGGTCTAAAAATGTAATCCAGTGCATGCAGCTGGTAATTACTTTCATTTGATTTCTGGTTTAACGAGCGCAATTACTGTGGAGAGAAAAGGGACGAGGGAAAGAGAAGAAAGAAGATGCAGTTCTGTCCAACCACCATCATTTGGGAATCAGAGGTCACTTGGTAACAGTTTCGTCGTTGGGTGGGATTCCTCAGCAAATACTGTCTAGACTGCTTCCCACATAGAACCCAATAGGCACTACCTTTTCAGAGCTGTTTGATTGTGGCCAATCCTTTAACTGACGCATTTTTGAAGATACCATCCTCATGCGTTTTCCAGAAGAAACAGTAGTATACTAGTCACAAAAATAAGTAGTGCTTACTAACTGGATCCAGGGGATTTAAACACCAGGGGATAGTTGAACCGTTTTGTTGCTATGCTTGTCAGTGGTGCTCATTTGATCGGTTTACCCCAAAGACTGGAAGTGTTATCTTGACCGTTTGTTTGACCTATGTAAATACACTTAGACTTCCAGGTTAAACATTAGTTTCCTAATATTCAAAATCTATGCGCGAACATATATGATTAGTTCGTAGAGTAGAACAACAACATTCACACTTTATTTCGTTTAATTAGTAAAACAATAAAATAATTTAGTTCGGAAAATCTATCCGTGTAGCTTTAATTTTTTTGTCTATACTCCCTTTTCCTTGTCAAGGTTCGGCATATCTTACCTGAAGATGTATATGAGAGATATGAAAGTTTGGTTTAAAACGAGGCTTAGACTTTATGCGAGATGTGGTCGCCTGTCCTAGGCAACAATGTGAACATCCGGTTATTTTGGATTCAGAAAACCTTGGACGATGTCCTCGATGTGAATTAAGCTTTTGTCCTATGTGTTTAAAACTTATCATGGTGTAGAACCTTGTAAAATTAAATTGATAAGGTCTAGTTTAAATGGTAAGTTTATTTTATGTTTGTTATTTTGTTTACACAAATGATTTCAGTGTACAGACATATTATTCTCCTATACTAATTGTGCAGAAGAGGTGACTGTCGGGCATCAGTGGGGTTTGAAGCGATGGGCACTGGGTTCTAGTCTCAGTGGGAACAGTATCACTCACTTGGTTGTGAGTACATCCATCTGATGAGTCCCAAATAAGAAGAAATGCACGCATCCTGGACCCCACTGCTAGCCAACAAGCAGAATGCAACTAATTGTGTATCGCCTAGTTTACTTAAATCACTTAACGACTGAGTAAACATTTTGCAGTGATTTAGTCAGTGTCAACTTTTAGCAACGTAATTTTCTCTCAAACGACTGAATAACCTCTAGGTTATTGAACTATGTAGTTAGCTTACAGCTAAAGGTTGTCACAGTTGAGAGAACTTCGTTCCGAGACTGGCTTTCAACTCACTGAGCGGTTCAAACTGGCTATTATCAATTCTGCAGTTTGATTGTACATCGTTGTTCAACTGTCATGTTCGCTTTTCTTTGTCCTAATATTTTTAAACCCATAACTAGTGATTGTATTGCCATAGAGCTTTCTTGCTTAAAGTTTCATACTCAACTCTATTATTTATCAAGCTATATTTGCGATGGATCATCTAATGATGACACAAGACATGAAAACGACCCTAATTTCTAATCACATTTATAAATCAGCTGTTTTGTACGCCCGAGTAACATCTTGATGGTACTAAATCTGCTGTGTTTACATAGAGATTTATTGGAGGTCATAACTAAAGGGATTATTTGATGTAGCCTAACCCAGGACAGGTTTATGTACTAGTCTGTGATCCTCATCTTTTGCATCACCGTTTATGATTTTAGTAATGTAGTACTGGTGAGGCAATTAAGGCTACTTTAACACTTGAAATACTTCCCCAGTTTAATTATTTCAAATAGTGAAAACGGGTCTGTAGACTAAGGTGTAAATCGCATCTATTTTTGCTTCAGAGGTGATTATGAAATTCCAACGTAAGTGAATTCGAACCAACCAGCCACCTCCTGTCCTAATTTTCATTTCACCTTCAATCATCACCCAGTATTAATAGCAAAAGCCTGTCAAACCACCGACATTTCAGATAGTTAGATAGAAGTGAATTCGTCTTTTCTTGATTCAGTACTTCCTAGCCAAGTGCTTAATTCACCTAACCATTGTTCGTTTCATTTAGTTATCTTACTAACTGCGGAAAATCTAAGTGAGAATAGTACTCCCTGTATCAGTCATTACCTTTACACCATGTAAGCTCAAAATTTATGAAGTATGGGCTATATTTGTGTAAGTCACATGAGTGTTTGAAATAAAATACTCTCAACATTTTACATGGAAATCTGGTCTGAGCTTCCTCAGATAAACGTAAAAATAAGCTCGTTGGAATTATTTCCTATCAAACAGGCTGTCTTACACAAATTTAACGTATATTTAATGTCAACGCTTTGCTCGGCGCCCAATATATGCAATAATGTTCGCTAAAAATGTATGCTGAAATTTCAGAAATCCCTATATCTGTGTAACCTTTTTGTTGTCTTGTGAAACTGTATTGGTTCCTTAACCTAGATTGCTCTTCTGTATGTAGACTAATCTTTGAGATGCATTGAAAGATGACAGTAATTGGTCACCACTGGATTTAGAGGATGTATCAGTCTATTCGTTAATCCTCAGTACTAACCACTGATCAACAGCTTCTCCCCGATTGACTTCTAACATTTGATACCAGGATTATTTACAGTCGATTAATCATGTACGTAGATGCTTACATGTCTGCAAGTCACCATTAATTCACGAATACAGAATAACTCAATAGGCCAACCTAACAGCAATTGAAATATAACTCATTAGATTCCAACATTTTATGAAAATCTTCCTTTTCAGCCGAAATAAACCAACCTGATTGCCTACTTTATTCCTTGCTAGGGTCACCTTTAAAGTTACGTTGACTACATAAGTTGTTTGCCTAAATTCAGTGCATTTTAACCATGTGAGTTAAACACTAATATCTTTTCTTCTCAGTAATACCCTGAGAAAACAAACCAAGTGTTTTCATTGCAACCATTAGTCATAAGGAAACAAAGTCTAAACGCTCATATAATTCCAGTCGAGTTGAATTACCTCAATCAGAAATAACTAAGTTGCATATTTACTTGTCTGTAATTTGTCAGTTTTAGTCCGCTTTTGCGCTTGTGCTTTTGAATGGCTTACTGCATAATATATTATCGTCTGTTCGGAAGTCTAGTACACATTCCTCTGCATACAGTTACTGAGTAGTGAAATAAATATTCTTGGATTTTTTTTTTAAAGAAATCATCTCTCCAGTACTCTAAATAACTAGATTGTGTTCTTTTTAGTCAACATACAGTTACAACTAATGAATAAATTTTTGTTTGTCAGAAAATATGGAGAGTACAAGCACAACGTTGTCAGTAGATAATGAAGCCTTATTATCCCGAATGAGAGAAGAAGAGGAATCAGAGAAGGTAATACTTGAAAAGTACAAACTATGCCCTGGTTGTTGGACACCGTGTGAAGTGAGTTTCATATTCGTTTTTATACACGATATTTGACTTATACATAGATTTCTAATGAGGCTTAGATTCGGCAGAAATGTGTTGTAGACTGCTCAAACCTAGTTGCTTTTTATATAGTCCCTTCAAAAATCAGGTAAAACTTCTAGTTAGCGAACTCTTTTGCTTCTAGACGAAGAAACTGCTGACTAAGTGTTCCCCTACCATGAAACACAGTAAGAATAGAATGATTAGAAGAGCAGTCCATGGAGATACACTCAAAACAAAACATTCATTACTTTTCTGAAGCAGAAGATAGGAGGAAGTTATAGCATGACTGCCACCACTTTCGATTCTGAGTCATATCAGATAACGTCTCGAGCCACTGAGTTGCGTTGTCGTTGGGACCGCACCAAGGGACTCTTGATGCACTAACAGATGCTAACACGTTACAATTATCTTCCATCCCACGTCATACTCTGACCTTCCCTCCGCTTCTTCCATCTAGTCCTAGGGCTAGCAAACGATGAACGGCATGGAAGCCGTTGCGACGATAAGTGTAACATATGTCCAAGCCACCGAAGCCGGTTTCTCCAGATGACTTCACTTATTGGATGACAATCTCCACCATGCCCAGGCACACGCTGTGTTTTACTTCAAAGTCACTTACATAGTGTTACCACCAGATACTAGCAATCCTACGGCGACAACGATGGTCGAACACACAGAGTCGTCACACATTTCCCAGCTCGAAGAGGCCAGGTTTCACAGGCGTAGAGTAGTGTAGTTTACTTTTACACGATCATCAGAAACCTGTTGTTACATTAAAATTCCGTATTCAGTATTCATAACCATTTGAAAAGTTCATTTTTCGTGATTTGTTATGTGAGTGCTCGTAGGAGTATTGGAAATAAAATCAATTTTTATATAGTTCAAGCGTAAAGTGCCAATTTAGACCATTTATTTTGACACCATGATATTCATCTGGTTATGACAGATTGAATGCGTAGCACTTTAGAGTCATCCATCCTTCTTGATGCTTACAAAATACGATCAACTGAAGCAAGTTATGTTCATCACCATCGTCTACATAGCCTTACTAACACTTGGTGTGGGAACATCATGTATATACTATATAATTTCAGTGACATAGTATAGAAAGTTCTGCGATCGTTAAGGTTATCTTGCATCATTGGCACTAAAAGACTTTTGTACCTTTGATGCTTTCTTTTCTGGAAGCCTTTATGCTGAGCATTGCTTTAGCTTTAGAATTGTCTACAAAAAAGTATTGTTGCTAAGACTACTAGTTCCTCTATTCTACCTCTTTGCTTTTCTTTTCCATGTCTCCCGTCAACCATTTTTATTATTGTTTTTTGACTCTGCTTATCCTCTGCTGATTCTGTTGACCGTATCACCTTTCATTCATCACCTTTGTTTCCACGATCACAGACCTACAAATCAACGTAGAACCACGGAAGAACAGAACACAGAAGAACATCATTTCAAATTACTGCATCTCACAGCAGCTAGTTCAGAAGAGGTGTACAGAAAAAGTTATATTAGGGTAAACATGTGTATACGGGGAAAGAATTTAAAAAATAAAGGGTAACAAAATGTTCAGCAATTTGAAGGTGACAAAGAGTGTATACATTTACGCCGTTGTGACCAATCTAAAGCCGCATCACTAGGAGTATCTAATCATTGATTTTGATTGCCTTAAGAACGCTAGCCAGATAGTCGATACCTTCCTGCAAGGTGTAAACCAGCAGTCAGAGACTTCATGAAGTGATGTCGAACCTCGGTCTTACCATCCTTAGTTTTCCTCCAACTTAATCCTACTTCAACTATCATCGAACACTGAGGCAGCCAGTGGTTTGGTGTGCACAACACGTGTCCAAGCCACCTCGGTCGGTAAAGGTTAACAACTTAATCTGCTGACTTGCCTTCTTTGTTTAATATCCTGCACGATCATACCCTACGATCACTGTGGCTGTAGTATATCTGCTTGAGAGATGTAACCCTCATTTTCACCCCCTTTTTTGTAGTATGAGAAACTCTCCAATGAGGCGTTTTTTTTTCTGTGTTATCTTACACTTGATTCTGAATGGAACGGAAATCATCCATCCTTCACAGTTGACAAACTATGTTTATTTTAGATCATGTATACGGTTATTTATTGGGCGTTCATCATTTGTTAATTTCATAATACAGAGCTGTACATTCAGTTGACATTCGTTTGGGGCAACCTGAATCTTCATAGAGTTCTAGATATTTCACTGTAGAGTGACTTCAACACGTTGGATACAATGAAAAACAGTAGCCATCTTGTTGTGTTTTTATAAAGTCTGTTTTTAATTGTAATACTAACAAAACAGGGGTGACTTCGGTGACTACTGAAATAACCAGCGAGGCTTCTTTATTCTAGCTAGAAATGTGGGTTTTTTTCATACAATAACCGTTAGGGTTACCTTAAAAATCATTACAGTTAAATACATTAACTAACTTCCATCAACAGACAATTATTTTGTATTTTTAAGATAGTATTCATCATAGACTGATATCATTTGGAGATCCATTGAAAACCTGGGAGCTGTTTCATCCAAGTATGAGACAACTCAGCAGTACGCACTTCACTTACTTGGGGAGTTTCATCAGCCTGAACGGACAAGGATACTGCACTGCGTTCCGTTCTGTCCTGTTGTACTCGTCCATTCTCGTATACTGAATCCATCCACACGACGAGATTTTTATTATTATTATTATTATTATTTGTCCCTTGGGTTCCTAGTGGAACATACGGTTTCAGTAGCACGTCTCCATTTCGCTCTGTTTTCTGCGGTCTTTTGAACCTGGCTGCACGACTGCCCGCAAGCTTTCATTTCTTTCTCACATGATCTCCTCCATGTCACCCACAGACGTCCAACTGGCCGTTTCCCATCTGGGTTCCACTCGAGTGCCTGAACTGGCGCGTGATGTCCCCGAATGGTCTTCTCAGTGCATTTCCAAACCATCTCCATTTCCTTCTGCATATTTGTTGAGCGAATAGGTTCTTGGTTGGTTCGTTGCCAGCCAGAGTTCCTCGTTGCTTATTATTTCTGGCCACCTCAGCTTCAGAAACGAGCCAGCGTAAGCAGTTGTTGATGAATGTCTGTAGTTAGTTGGAAATCCATTTCGTAACCCGCCAAGTCTTTGAGCCATACAGAAGCATTGACTTGACGTTGTTGTTGAAAATCCGGATCTTGTTCATGCTTTATGCTGAGTGCAGTAGATCTCCACATTGGTTTCAGGTTGATAAACGCCTGTCTTGCTATCTTTCCGATCCTGGCTGCTTTGACGTCCTCGTCTGTGCCGCCTGTAGTTGGAACGATGCTGCCTAGATAGGTGAAAGAGGCTACTTCCTTTAAGTTTCTCTCGTTGATGGTGATTGGAGCTTGTTGTTGTTGGTGGTGGTGTTGGTTGGGTATCTTCTTCACCTCTGTCTTCTCTACATTCACTTTAAGTCCTATCTTCGCTGCCTCGCCTCTTCTGTCAACTTGTTGGTTTTCGCCTGTAGATTTTCGAGTTTGTGTGAGATTAGACATAAGTCATCGGCGAAATCCAAATGTTCTGGGATCTTTTCCCCGGTCCAGCATATCCCCCTCTTCTTGCTCCTCACTGTTTGCTGCATGATCCAGTCCACCACAATCAGGAAGATGATCGGTGATAGTAGGCAGCCTTGTCTTACTCCTGTCTCCACCTCAAAGGCATCCCTGAGCTTCCCATTATGAATTACTTGGCATGTGGCGTCTTCATGTAGTTGTTGAAGGTTTGTCGCACTAAAACCGTAGTGTAGATGTCTTAGAAAATTGATTCACATCCAAAGATCGTGAGGTTCGAACCCTGTTTCGTCTACTTCGGCCCAGGTGACTGAGTAGTGTCCTAAACCTTCATACAAAAATTGTGGTTTATAGTCTAGTACATAAACATGTACTAGGCTTGAGTTATACATCACAAAGTGATTGACAAAAACCTGAGACCTATCTATATTTCATACTTATTAGTACTTTTTGGTGATTCAGTTGGTACTAAGAGTTAAAATATGTCAGTGTGTAGTTTGTCAAGCCTTACATTGTTTGGTCTAGTCCTGAGTGTCGACCAGGTCATGAAACTAGGCGGGTGAGAATCACAGTGCACTTTGGATGATGTTAAATGGTTGGAGGCGATCGGTAGGAAGTCCTGGATGTTGGTTCCACACTCGTCAGCAACGTCTACCTACGACCTTGATGGAAGTGGTGTCCTCTCTGAGATCCGAACTGATGTTACCCAGTGATGCAGTCAGAAGTATTACCACTGAGCTGTTTGACCTGTGATTTACCTCTTGTAGGTCAGGTAAAGGTTACTAGGCAAGTCAGTAAATAAGATTGTACACTTTCACCGTTGGATTAGGTTGGAATAGGGTTTAGGGTAACCAGATCAAGACGTGGCTGCAGTTGAAAAAGTCCCTGACTGTTGATCTGAGCTATTTAGGAGGGTGTAGACTACCTGACCGGGGTTCCTGAGACGATAGGAACCAATGGTTGAGGACTCTTGGTGACATGGCTGAAAATCAGTCACAGTGCTTCAGATGTATTCACTCTTTGACGTCTTCTAAAGCTTGAATATTTTGAATAACCTTTATCTTCAAATTGTTTATTGTCTCACAAACTTTGTCTCCTTTGATATCACTCTTATTCTATCTACCTGTCTTTGTGTACTACTGTGGAGCGTGGCAACTTGAACTGATGCACTTGTGTACGAGGGTCTACGTTGATTCTGTCTGTCTGTCTGTTTGTTTGTTTGTCTGTGTCTGTGAATTGACTAGAAACCTCACTATCCATAATGGTGGTGAATGGCTAGATAATACTAAACTAGCTTTTTAAGTGTTCATATTAGCACTTTTTCCTTAAAATGTGAACATTTGGAACAACGGAAATTGAAACTGTAGAAACTTGCTGATTTCGTTGCTAGCAGTAACAGCAGAATGAATGTTCATAGAAATTCTTCCTTATGTATAGAAAAGTACAAAGCGATATTTCAAAGTGTAGTACATTTGAGAAAAAGCCTCTTTTTACGTCAAATATTCAAAAGCAATGCGACCATCCTCCATCATGACTTAAAACACAGGCATACTTACTGGTGTCGGACACTAGTTGTATTTCTTGACCTGAAGATGACACTCGACTACCACGACGTAGAGGTTTTGTGACAATGACCCTCATTGAAACAGGTGCCCGATAAGTACATCACACTGTTAAAGGTTCTATACCCTAACAACGATGATTGTGATAGAACCTACTGTTAGATATCAGATTAGTCGTTTACATCGAGTGGTGTCCGTTAGGGATATCCACTTTCTCAATTTTTGTTTAACTTTATCGTGGACATGTTCATTAGGAGGTTGACGTTGTCACAGTAGACTCTTTAGTAGATGATGTAGTCCCATTAATAAGATGCAGTCTACACTGACTGGTCACTGAAGAACAACTAATTTCATGTTATCTAATCCTGAATACATTTTGCAATGTTAAGCCGTTTCGAATCTCACAAGGTGGACATCAGTTCCTTTGAGGTTACAGATACGCCTTGCTGACGAGCGTCAACAAGTAAGAAACCTAGGTAAAGCAGGGCTTCCTGTCGATTGCCTGCGACCAGCATTCAAGATGCAGTCTTGTAAGCACTTTGAGAATGTTTAGGATGCGTTCCTCACCACCCATATACAGATTACTGCTCCAGAATTGGTCTGCTTTTACACCTCATCTAGCAGTAGGAAGTAAAGGGCTTGAGTGCGTTGACTGCGTCATTTAATTGAGAGGTGGTCGGGTCAGTCTTGATGCAGACCACTCACGCTGATCTGCAGATTTTGTTGGTTAGATAAGAGTGATTTTAACACCGGACGACTATTTCGCTTATTTGGAAACAATTCGCAAATTGACCATCCTATTTATGGTATACCAGTTTACGCAAGTCAGCTAACCAGGTCTCAGTGAACTGAACTTGTTCGGGTACACTGCTGGTGAGCTAGACCTAAAACGAGCAATGTTTAGTTTACTCTGTTCTGACCAGTGAAATCTATAGATCAGCGTAGATGTATCCACATACTACCTTCATCCTAATCGTCTTACTGAACTTCAGCATTCTCCCATTCTGTTGTTTGCTCTCTTTAAATGACTTTATATCACTTTGATTACTTTCTTCTCCATTGTTTCATCCTTCATCCGAATGCTTTCTCGCTTGATGTACTGCATTGAAGCGTGGCGACTTGGAGCGGTACATGGTAGTATCTGGTCCTATTTTGATGTTGATGATGACGGAGCAGCATGAGTAGTATCTAACTGCTTTTCAGACTGCCTAGATTTTGGGCTACCGAAAAGTTTACACCGCATATATTACAAAAAATTGCTTATTTTGAAATTGAGATTGCCAACAAATCGTAGCATTTGTTCTCACGCAATATGAAAAATATTTTCAACCTATCGTTTTCTGAATTAACATTAAAATTGCAAAAAAATTACGCCACATTATATGGCGGTAGGTTCCTAAGCGCGCTGCAGTGTACCATGTAGCTGTTTCATGTAGAACCATAGCATCTTGCCCTCCTTCTAAGATGAATTCCAAGTGACCTTAAACACACCAATAGGAGTGCAGATGCGTATTTTGTAATTTATTGATGAAAAAATAAAAGGGAATTTCAGTAGATATTGCTGATTGGTACTTGTAATTTTTCGTTGCTATGATGAGTCGAATTGCTCGACCTCTACTGACAAATAGTTTCCTGTGCGGATTGTCTGATACTGCTGGATACTCATGATGTTATATTCATCTTCGTAGCTAACAGTAGAATACAAGATGCACGTTTCGTCCTATTAGGGAGCTATCAACTGGAGCGAGTGATGTTCTCACTAAGACTTGAACTTAATGCCCATCGCTTCAAACGCCAAAACATTATCCACTGTAGCACAAGAGCCACCTCTTTTGCAACGGATTTCAGTTGTTGTTCATTGATACTTTTAATTTCCCGTTGCTGTACAGCGTTGAATTGTCTAACCTCAGTGGGAATAGCATCACTTACTGGGGTGCAAGTACATTCAGCTGCCGAGTCCCAAATAGGACGAAGCACACTACTACTAGTCATCAAGACGAATACAACTTCAGTGAATATTATTTTTCAATACCAGTGATGAATTTACGAAGATTTTCAACTGGTTCATATGGTCTGAAGTTGAAATAAGCACGATAAAGAAATCCATCCATATTACTCCAGAGCTATAATCCACTTGAGTCTTCATATTAAAGTTAATAAGCCTTCAGAAGGCTACTTTGTTGCTGTATTAATAATACGAACTCCTATTGGAGGATCTACAAAGTGTTGTTTATGGACAGCAGTGTGATATTGGTCATACCCCAAGCTTCTCAGACATTGATATGCTTTCCATTGATCGATGTTAACAGTAGTTCCTAGAAGAAGGAATTTTGTAATGACTGGAACCAATGTTGTAACCTTGCGATTGTTCACCTTTTGAAAATATCCTATTCCGAATATCTGTGCCTATATCGTCACAGTCTTTCCATCTCCTTGTCACTGTTTCATCTGTCTCGACTATCTCACCCTGATTGGCAAAGACTTTAATCAAATTTCGCAAAGAATTTGAAAGCAGATATATCCCTGCAATACTGATTCCACTGTACAACTGTCATATTTGTCACAGTCGCCATGGCTGATGTGCTTGTAACTGGTGTATTGATTATCCACTGCACGACAGACAGTATAATTTGTTGCAGTAATAAGTTAGATTTTGCATAGAAAGAAGGCGTGCGTATATATTTCTGGCTTCAGCATGATCTGTATCTAAGTTTCATACTGTATCAAGGAATGCTGTCCAGAATAAAGGGATTATTGTTATTGTTGTTCTTCAGTAGTATGTTATGATGGTTTATGACACTTTTGTGTAAGATATCTCGCTTTACGATCGTAACTCGATGATTTTCAACGGAAACTCTGTTGACATAGCTGTTGGGCGTTTGAAAAGCCGTGGGAAATTTCAACATGGAGTGTGTGGTTTGTTGGCCATTGATATCACCGAAAGTTTGATGGTTATTTTCCACTTCTTGTCAAATTTATTAGTCTGTACGAATCATAATTAACTTGGTTTTAGCTAGTAGTGGAATCCAGGACTTGCGTTTCCTCCCATTTAGGACTCGTCAGCTGAATGTACCTTCACCTCAGTGATTGATGTTGTTCCCAGTGGAACTCGAACTCAGTACGCATTGCTTCAAGCACCAAAACGTTGTCCACTAGGCTACTGAGGTTTGAAAGGCACTTCTTTTACTGTTATAACTGACTTCGTTTATCTTCCACAGATTTGCATATAAAAACTAGTCTTAGTTTAAAAGTAACTAATGAGAATCTTCAACGTGAATAAGATTCCTATGGTTCTATTTGAATGATTTTTTTCGCACTAAAGTTGGTACGAAGGTATAGTGTTCAGAAACTGACCAACAGTAATTGATTTGTACTCTACTGTCGACGGTTATGCTGGCCAGTGCTTGGATATGGCTTTGTAAAGTGTGCGCTTTGTGCGGTCGAACACAAACAAGTCAACTTGTAGACACATGCAAACACATTGATATGACGCGAAACGGTATCTTGCCATTATCATATTTATGAATTTCTTACTGACTGGAGGATATGATCTGTAGTTTGGCCACAAAGAGTGTTCTCAGTGTTTTGGTGAACAACTGGTTCTTCAGGATTTCAGTTGAAGTATTTATCATTCGGTACTGTATAAATCTGCTCAGTATGTTGCTTGACTTTAGAGTTCATCTCAATAAACTTGAATAGAAGAGGGAGGTATTCATTCTGCATAAATATCTGTCGAAGTTTATTCAGTTCATCAACAGTATCGTCTGTGTAGATTGTTTTGATTCCTGATGACGATGATGATAGCTATGAATGAATTAAGCTTCTTTTTCTGCTCAACAAGGTCAAACTATGAAAATCCATATACTACCTACTCAATCCATGTTGGCTTTATGTAGACTGATTTTTGAAGCGAATCATCCAGTCTCATTTTCAGGAAATCAAACTCGAATTCCGATGTGAAGTTAATCAACTGATAGGAGATCATATATGTATCTTCATCCCCTTTGACGAATGTACCATGTATATTATCTCTTACATAAGTAAGTTTGAAACGTGTCAAATCTTGTTCAATCCATTCCACTGTTTACTCTCAGCTATAATTTATTTAATTGCATTTCATCTACTAAATTATTCACTAAATCCTTTTCTTTTTCTTTTACTAAACAGAAGATAACCGGTTGCAATAAAATGAAATGTTCATATTGTCATTTAACATTTTGTTGGTTATGCCTTGAAGGTATCTATGATTATCTACAACCGTATTCTCACTTTTCTAAAGGACAGTGTAAAGATCAACTTTGGACGGATAATCCTGTTGAGTAAATGTTGCATATTTTTTATTCATCGATGTGTTGAATGATCACATCAAGTATTTTGTACACATACTGGGTGTATTCTACCTTTAATTTCGCTTAATTTTTGACATTTTGTAAATTTTTTCATGAGAAAAAGAAATATAAGAAAATGAAAAGATAAGTGGCTCAGTGAAGAGGCTATTTTCGATGAATTCATTCACTTAACTGTACAATCCCATTTATTATACAATTTCTAGTGAGAATGTACTTTGGTTTTGAGATAATGGAGAATATTTGTAGCTCAGATGAATGGTCTTGGTTGTATTATGTTCTCTGAGCTGGGTTGTTTAATCGTGAAGCTTTCATCATCTTTCTAGACGACATCATCAGCACTAACTTCAGTATGAAGTATGAAGAAAGACGATGAAAGCTTCAAGATTAAACAACCCAGCTTAGAGAACAATACAACCGAGAATGTACTTTGTTTCATGAACGAAAGCAGTTTTTTAGGCATGGTAACAAAGTTACACATAAAAATAGAAGTGTGATTTACATCCTAAAGTAATCGATATCTTAATGAATATTAAAGTGATCAGAAGGTATAAAATCCAGGGTTGCTAAGATAGGTGAGTATTGTTCAAGATGTCATAGGAATTAAGTAAAGATAGTTAAATTTGAATAACGAGTTGAGTAACGTGACAAAATATTAATGAATGAGTTGTAATCAGGGTGGGTACAGAAACAAGGAGCAGTTGATACTATGAATGGAAAGAAGAGTTGGAAAAAGGGGGAGGGGTGGAAATGTTTTAAAAGAGATGTTGAAGGTTGAAACCATGAAAAGAGCAAGAGTTGAACATGTCTCTTTTGTATGCAAAGCTCTGCCTTTTATATCTGAATTACCAAGGCTTCAGCAATACAAAGAAAGTGGATGTGCACTGACTTAGTCAAGTTTCTCTTCACTTTCTAAATAACTTTGGAACAGTAGGTTGGTGTTGGACTAGTGTCTTTTAGGTGCTCCATTGTCGCACGTCTTATAGATCCACTGTTACCCCTTTGTAGCCACATTGGATAGTGTCCTTGAACACTTTTGGACAGGACCCGAGTCAAATGACCTACGTACCCGGCTCCACAGGAGTAAGTGAACTGATATACACAGAAGTGGCTAAATATAGGATCTTGTCTTTCAGGCGTTTGCTGAGCTAAGGATGACTAAAGAACAGTACTATGAGGAACTTAGAAAACCTGGAATCCTTCTCTTTAGGATGTTGGCAATTAGATCGCCTTTGTAATTCCATTTTAGTCTGTTTATTAGAAATATCACACAGTGAAACAGTATCATTTACTAGATAACATTTCGGACACAATTTATTGTCCATATTCATATCGGGTAACAACTTTGAGACAGTTTGTATTTTTCTAATCTTCTCGCCTTCTTTGTGATCACAAGGATGGTAGAATTTTCCGTATATCTGGGACAGGTGCAGCAACATTTCTATTGTATCTGTTCATTGGTGGCTAGCTTCGAGAGGTGATTCCAGAAGTTGCAATGCGAAGTCGTGACCGGTGGGACGAACAAAGTCAAATGAGAAGACAGCTACTCAACGACGACAGTGGGTTGAGGTTGCACTATATTTGATTCCGACCCAGTTGCTCAATGTTAACGTGCTGGCTTCGGAACCTGAAGGTCTTGGGTTCGATCCCTCGCGGGGTGGTGCATGCTCACTGCTGAGTAGTTCCATACTAGGACGAGAGAGCTCTCCAGTTCTTCTAGGTTTTCATTGTTTGTCTCAGTGATATCAGTTCATGATAGACACCAGCCTGAAATCTACTGCATGCATTTGATGTTGATTTGAAACAAAGATTCGGTTATCAATCTCTCCTTCCACCCAACTAAGTTTTTAACGCTGTCGCTCTATCCCACCGTACTGTGTGATTGTGTATGTGATAGCGTTAAAAACTAACTTAATTGAGTGGAAAGATTGATAACCGAATCTGCGTTTATCAAATCAACATACAATGGAAATGATTCTGCACCTGTCCCAGACATATGAGAAATCCTACTACCCTCTTCATAAAGGAGAGAAAATTAGGATGATATAGAATGGCTCAAAGTTGTGGAGTTACCTGATATGAATATGGGCAATAAATTATTTCCGAAACATCATTCGGTAAATGATACTGTTTCACTGAGTGACATTCCTAATAAACAGAGTAAAATGGAATTAAAATCTACCACAGTCCCCAAGTTTTACTCCTATATTGATCACCTTTGAAGTCAAAGTTCATGCATAATATTTTTTTCGATACGGAAACTGAATCATGTTTTGGCGGTTTTGGTTTGATGTTTTTATCTATGAACGGTGGTGGGTACCCGTTTTCAATCAAACTTTCCCTTAGAATGCTTATCTCTTTATCTGTAGCGTCTTGGCTGCAAATACATCAGTTGTGAGTAGTAGCATGGCATATAATTAGATTCCTCTTCCGACTAATGAGCACTTAGCTGTAGGAATTTGTCAGTTGCGCATTCAATGTGGGCATAGAAATACACTTTGGATAAGAAATACTGTATATTGTGTCGTAAATTTCTTAGTTAATCAAAAATCATTTGATCAAGAGTTTGACTGATAAGGCTGTAAACATCAAAATGCACTCGACATGCCAACACTCAAAGCTGCGATGATATTTTCAATTTGATTGGTTGTAAAAGTATTTTCTATGTAACCTTATCTGTGAACAGCGTAACATAGTAGATAGTGTAATTAGAAGACGAAATTTATCTGAATAATGTGTTGTGACAAATTCGCATAATACACTTCAAATAATCTGACTTGTCAAGTCAGTTTATATTAAATCGAAGGAGGGGTGAACAAATGGAGCGAAAGATAATAGGGGATTAAAATCAAGAAAGATGAGAACAAAAAGGAAGAGGGACATAGCTTATCCTAATCTTGATAAAAGAGCAAAGTTTACCAAGGTAGGTGTAGCGTGAGAAAAAACTGTTTTTGTACAACCAAAGGCGGTTTCAATTTGCGTATGCTGTCACTTCCGCGAATCTCAGTACGCGTCCCTGACTACGTAATACTTTGAAAGCTGTTTGAATATGGACAATAAATTGTGTCCAAAACGTTATCCAATAGATAATATTGTTTCACTGTGTGACACATTTAATCATCAGATTAAAATGGAATTAAAATCTTCCATAGTGTCCACATTTTACTGATGTACTTGGTAAACTTTTCTTTTCCTAATAGATTGAGGTTAGTTGACATAAAGTTTCTTCAACTTCAGGCCTGTGGATCATTTTTTTGGTAGAGACAGATTAATGGTGATAATAATTTCGGTATTTCTAGTACTTTGTGAAATTCACAAAGCTTTTTCATAGACTCCAAGTTCTGATGGTCAAAACCCAGCCGAAATACAAACACTAACTGGTATTGGATTCATCCATATCTCATTGTTATCAAAAACTTTAGACAATAAATGAAACACATTGATAAGGCAATTCATCCAACTTACTGCGGCAACAGACCTTACACCACTCACTTACCAGTCTTGTAACACGTGAACACCAGTCCGCAGTCATCATTTGTTTCATGTTGGTAGGCTTTGAAACCGAGCTTCTTAACTAAACATGAACATAAAGAGTGGTGTATGTGTATACCTTACTTGTGCCATATTTATTATCAATATCAGTGCTAAAAATGGCCAGCGTACTGCTTTATACCTACTGTCAGAATAGGCGTAGATGTTAACCAACAGTGATAATCAGTTTTCCATGAGTTCCTTCACAAGAGCATATCAGTTTAATGTACACTCAGTTGATTAGAAGGCTATTTAAGTACATGAGATATCAACGAAGAATATCTATAAAAAACTGATGGTTTCATAATTCTAATTTGATTATCTATGTCTATGCAAAGGCGCTGGTCACCAATAAAGGTATCCACCTTTTGGTATTCGGATAAATTTGTATTCTAGTGTTCAACACTGACGTTGTACTCTACGTTCTTGTTTATTTGAAGATGTAAATTACTTCTTTTCTGCTATGAATTTTGTTTTATCTTAAATATACTCATGTATATCTTTGGTTTGTTCGTTTGGTTTTACGCTGCTTGACAAATGATGAATCAGCAGCGTTGGGATGATTAAAAGTCTACGAAGAAATGCTGGGATCTCATATGGGGATAGAAGTCAAATACCGTACTTGGACAAGTGGTCCAGGAGTATGTGAAGTAGTCAGCGTATTTAAATACCTCGCTTCCTTTCTTCCGACTGAGTGTTAGTACAGACCACTTATGAAGTGACATTTCAGAAATGAGAGACTCCCTTTAAACATTATGTTATTCCAGGACGTTTAGAAAACTTTTTACTTTACCGACGAAATCCCAGCTAGGATAGAAAAGTCCCTTTTCGCATAGGCCAACTTGCGTCATCTGTGGCATCGACTGGCGAGATGTTTGACTATATTTCAAAGGACGAGTATACTGCTCTGCAGTCCTTTCTGTCTTGTTATACAGTTGTGAGTCATGGCCGTTAAAATGAGAAAACATGAAGCGACTACATGGTTTTGATCATAGACACCTTCGTAACATTGCTCATCTCTGGTAGAATCACCATGTGAGCAATGTTGAGGTCACACGATGGGTACTAGGCAAGTCGACTGATGAGTTTGTATACCCACATTGGCTAAGATGGCTCGGACATTTGTTGCACATGCCGGTCCGCCATCTACCTTGACGTGCCATGCCAGGGGGAGCTGGATAAGGTTCGAAGAGGGTTCAGAGTGGCAAGATGTAACACCACTCCATGAAGTCCCTGAATGTTGATATGAGACGTATGAGGAAATGCAGACTACCTGGTTGGAGTCCCTGAAACGACAAGGATCAGTGGTTGAAGACTGTAGGTGAAAATCGATCACAATTGCGCAGACGTATTTCCTCTCTGACGTCTTCTTAAGCTTGAATATTTGCACTAAAATTTATCTTCAAATTGTCTATTCTGTGATAAATCTTTCTGTACTTTGAAATCACTCTTTTTCTATCCAGTTGCTCCTTGCATGCTACTGTGACTGAAAAAGTCAACGTAGAACCTCGCACGTAAGTCCGTTACTTCAAGTTACCACACTTCACAGTAGTATACAAAAATAAGTAGATGGAAAAAGTGATATCAGAGTGGACAAAGTTGCGTGAGAGAACAAGCAGTTTTAAGATAAAGGTTGATACGAATGTACAAGTTTTAGATGTTATGGAGTAAATATATCTGCGCAATTGTAAACGACTTTCAACCATGTCACCAAGAGTCCTGTCGACTCGGGAACCCCAGCCAAATAGTTTCCATCTCCCTACATGGTTCAGACTAGCAGTCAAGAACTTCATCGACTGGTTCCAGGTTTTGGTCTGGCCACCCTAAACCCTCTTCCAACCTAATCCAACTTCTCTTAGGATAACATGACCGAGTAGGCAGTGGCTCGGTATCCGGAGTCCGATGTAGGTTCAGCACCTCATCACTCGACCTGCCCGTCTTGCGTAGAACTCTTCGCCTGACTTCAATATAGCTCACACGGTGATTCCACAGCATGCGAGCAATGCTACGAAGGTATCTGTGATCAAAACTCTGCAGCTGCTTCATGTTTTCTCCTTGTAATGGCCATGACACAGCTGTATAACAGGACAGAAGGGACTGCAGCGCAGTACACTCGTCCTTTGATAGATAGTCTGACAACTTTTTAGTCTGTGCCGCAATTAGGCAGATGTTAAACGGGGCTTTTGTATGTGAAGTGAGATTTCGTCATCTACCAGTCCATTTGGATGATGCAACTCTCCACGTAAGTGAACTAGTCGACGCATTCCACCACTTCACTCCCTATCATTAAACTGGGAGTATTTGTAGCATGCCGGTCCTGGAGAATCATCTTACATTTGACAGATGACAGCGAAACGCATGCTAAACATACTCAGATTTCTGCTCAACGCGTCTAGGAGACCCTGCATTTTGTTAGCGTCTTCACCTAGCAGGACAACATCGTCTGCATACTCTAAGTCAAACAGATGATCTCCGGGGACTAGGTCAATTCCTATGAATACTCTGATACTCGAGCGTTGACTTTGGCACTGAGTGGCACCAATTCAACTCAGTAGGGTGACATCACCTCAACGCGGTTGCAATGAGCTTTGCTGATAACTCCAGACAACCAAGAAACCCAATTCGCTGTTTTCTCAGTCGTTTATTTCTTCGAATCTGTTGTAGATAAAGTCTCTGTTATTTATAAAACAAACTTTTATTTTCACAAATAAACATATTCATATACAGATTACACCTAGCTAATATAGAACAAAGATCAAGGTAAATGGTACACTGTAAGAAATGAAGGCTCTCTGAAACCATACCAGCCTCCAGCATAGTTTCCTATCAATTTGCGCTGACTGTGATATGCTACTTGATATTAGAATGTCATCCACCCTGTAGAAATAGCTAAATCTCAGCAATAAAAAACACTGACAGAATTTCTTAAAATGAAATAGATATGAAAAACAAAGACAGTATGTGATTACTCTAAATCTAAAAAAAATATCCGAAAATCAGTGAACAAATAAGGATTCTTTTTACGTTTCTCACATTAACCTGTTTTCATTTTCTGCATTTCATTGAATTATCATAACCTAAAAAGTATGAAACAGGCTGTAATGTGTAATTTGAATGGTGATACATCTTTTTGTTATTATCAGCTGTCAGACCACTACCATCGTGTGTTCTTGCTGAAGGTGATATGGCGGTATCACTTAAGAAATAGCCAGAAGAGTCAATTGAATACCACTGTACAACATAAGTATCCACACCTTGATCCATTAATAGACAAACACTGTCTGGTAGATTTTTAATATCGATTTCTGTAATGAAATCTACATAACCTTGTATAGCGATACCTTTAGTGATGAATGAAGAATTATGTATTTGTATATTTATAGTCGGTTGGTCTGTCTGTTGTATTAAATTGATTTTAATTTCACTAACAAGTCCTATTTGTGTTCGTGCGTGACTCTTTCCCGATTGTTTCCATATACTGGCCTCTAATCCACTGGATATACTCAGTGATAATGCAGCTACATTATCGATTTGTATAATCCATCCAGATGTAAGAGTAGTTTGTATCCTTTGGTCAATGGGTAATTTAAGCACTTGTAACAATGGTGTCAGCTGACCTGACGAAGACCATAATAATCGAACAATGTCAACAACACCACCAGAAAATACTTCCTGCGGTAATAATGATATACCAAGATAGGTAAGATCAAAACTCAACCATGTACCAGTTGATGACGTTGATGTGGTTGAAGTAGTCTGCTTTTTACTTGGCGCCAACGAGGTGAGTTCGTCTGCTTGGATGCTCAAGTCAAAAATCACTGATTCCCCTTCTTTACTAACTACACTGACACATAGATCAGACAACTGTAGGCCACCATAAGGATCTAGAACGAAATATGATGTATAGTCAATGAGTAGGGCATTGTTCAGACTACTTAATTCACTTTGTAGTAGTGTAGCTTGACCAATCTCTTCAGACTGATCTCCAGTGAGACCAGACCAACCTCCAGCTAATCCTAACTGACATGTTGTTGAATAGGCGGAATTCAATGTCAGCACACCTAAACAGTTACATTCATCTCTTGTTAACAATTCCATTTTACACCATTGTTGAATGAATTGCCGACATATTTGAATGAATGACCATCTTTCTTGTTTAGCCATATCAGATAATATACGGGCAAGATGTACAACTGATAATTCTGACAACAATAACACTTTAAATATCTCTTGGCCGATTAATAAATCATCATGTGATTTCTTTGGTAATTTATACAACATTTCAATTAGTCTAGTCCTTATCTCAGCTAATTGCTGTTCATAAGGATTATAAATGAGAGAATTATGTGTTTGTCGATTTCTAGCCTGTTGTGAGAAGTGAACTTCACCGATAACTCGAATAGCTAAAGTTCGTATAACTGATGGAATATTATCATGGTCAAAAATTATTTTCAATAAAGATCTTGTCAATCCTGGATGATGTAATTTTTTAGTCATTGCTAATCCCATTAATAGGTTATTTCGATTAATTTTCGATTTGAATGATGATGAATTTTCAACTTTTGAATTTGATATATCAAGTAGTTTTTGAATATGTTGTATAATTTGTTTGAAATCATATACTTCTCGTAAATTTAAATTAACTAATGTCATTAAACAAACATAATTTTTATCAATAATTATTGATTTTTCACAAGCTTCATAAAGTTGATTCACTTGTTCAATGTTCAATCGACGTATATGTGATAAAGATGGCCAAAGTTTAGTAAATAACATTTCTTTTGATTTGACCACCTCTAAAGAGTGTTGATCATGATCACTTTGATTCGAATAAACAAAATGTGTTAAAGTATTCAACCGATTGAATACAATTGTTAAACATGTACTTGTACCACAATTGATTAAAATATCAATTAAATGATCTCTCCAGGTATTCAATTGACGATAAATTGATTGTATTTCAGTAGCTGGTGGTGCTAACATTGTTGCACTAGTTAGAATTGAAAGTGATTGATTTGTCTCTGAAAGACAGCGTAATAGACTGGTTAAATTCAAGATTGCTTCAGCTGATTTTATAGATCCAATCGCATCATTTTGTAGCCAATCACGATATGATTCGATATGTTGACGTAAATAGATAAGATTGGCATTCTTCTTCTTCTCTGATGTCTCATCTTCGTTCATAAATGCAGTGAATAAATTCGCATTCAGACTACATGTCTGTGATTTTGATACAGGATAAACAATACCTAAATGGATTGTTTGATAGTCTGAACCAAACAAGATTTCCGTTATCTAAAATGAAAGAAAGTAGAATTTAAAACTGATGAACGATAGCAGAATATCCGGATAGTTTTAACGTGACAATGGATGATTTAGACAAACAGACAAATCAACTTAATAACAAGAATAGTCTTATTCTATCTGGAGGTTTATTAATTGATTTCAAGGTGGAATTCATCATGAACCGACATCATTTGGAGGAACATTGGAAACCTGGGAGCACTGGACGCCTGTTTTGTTCTAGTATTGGACTTCTCAGGAGTGCAAACCCATGACCCCTCCGGGGATCAGCCAAGTCGAACATGAGGATAGTTACTCAACGACGACATTGGATGTCGGTCGCGCTACATCGTGAACTGACAGACGTGGGAAATGTGGACAATTGGATCGCGACCCAGTAGCTGAATGATAATGTGCTAGCCACGGCACGTGAAGGTACACGGTTCGATCCCTGGTGGTGTGGGGTCATGAGTCTTCACTGCTGAGGAGTCCCATGCTAGGACGAAACAACTGTCCACTGCTCCCAGGTCTCCAATGTTCCTCCAACTGATGTCAATCCATGATGAATTCCAACCTAAAATAATAGCCCTGTTCGAAAGAACATGTGTGATACAATATGGAATTCGCAGCATAGAACATTTCAATAAATTCATTCTCTGTACAATAATGTGAAACGGGTAGATGGTGTTACATTAGCGTCTGGTCTGGACTGGTGAATGAATATAAAACTGAGCTTAATTTTGGTGGCGATAACTTGTTCAGCCAGTCCTGAAACCTGTTTATCGACAGTTATCCAAGGAATAGTAATGTACTGTATTTCTGTGCATTTCTAAATTCACCGCTTATCGGTGTATCGTCTCTTCTTCGTTTTGTAACCAACATGAAAAACGGCAGTTTGAAACTATTTTAAAAAAGTCTTCGAGAGTACATGACGCATTAAAAAGGCATTTAAAAGATCAAAACAAATTAAAAGGGAAGAATTTGATGACATACATTGGGTTGAAAATTTTCAGTAGGTCAGAGTTTAAGCAGGCAACTACTTTAATGGAAAAATTGGCGCAGAAGTGCATTAGTTCAAGTGACTATACTTCACAGCACAGTATACAAAGAAAAAGTGGACAGGAAAGCAATGAAACGAAAGTTGAGAAAAGTGTATGAGAGGAGATATGGTAATTAGATGGTTAAAGAATTTTCGTTTATTGGTACTCATAATTCTTCGTTGCTATACAGGGTCGAATTACACGACTTCCATTAGCAGATAGACTCCTATGTGGAGACCTCGATACTGTTTGGATATTCCTTATATTACAGTCAGCTTGGCGTCTAGACGTTCGACCAAGGAAACGTGTTTCGTCCTATTTGAGGCTCATCAGCCTGATATACTTGCATCCCTGTGCGAGATGTTCCCACCGAGACTCGAACCAAGGACCAATCGATTCAAACGCTATAGCGTTATCCACTAAGCCACTGGGGCCTGAAAGTCACCATTTGTGAAACGGATATCAGGTGTTGTTTATTGATACTTGTAATTTCCCGTTGCAACATTTGGTTGAAGCGATGGGTGCTGGGTTCGAGTCTCATTAGGGACAGTATCACTCATGTGGGTGCAGGTGCATCCAGCTAACGAGCCCCAAATAGAACAAAATGGGCGTTATGGATCCCACTCCTAGCTAATAAACAGACTACAATTGAGTTTTCTTCAGAAATTTCAATTTAAGACTTCGATGGTGACGAAGAGTGTATGTATTTGTGACATTTTGATCGATTTTCAACCACATCACTAAGAAGCTCCTGTCACCTACAGGACCCCAGTTAAGAAGTCTTCAACAGCAGTCTACACGTGTCAGATTGATAGGCATAGACTTTTTGAACTGGTGCGATTTTGTGGTCTACCCAATCTTCGGAGGTTAAAATGTCAGTTTGTAGTGAGTCTGGTACTTCTATGCACTCTTTTCCGTTTGCCTCTGCTGGCACTAAACTCAAACATCTAAGCTTTTGAGGCTAACATCCTGCTTCTAGTTCAGAGGCAGTGAATATATCATCACGCTACATGATGTTAGTGAACCGAGGAAGGAGTGAAAAAAATATTCACTGATGATTTACAAAGTGAACTGGACTGGATGATCGGTCTCTTCCGATTTTCATTAAATTTTCGCACATATATATCTATATAACCCGGTTTTTCTTAATGTTAGGTAGAGTGGTTACCGTAATCCAGTAGCCTAGTGCATGGAGTTTCCTCTTTCCTAGCGACGGTTTCTGGGTTCGAGTCCCAGTGGGAACAATCACTTGAGAGGCAGGTACATGTGACTGACTTGTCCCGAATGGGACGAAACGTGTGTCTTAGGTTCCGCAGATAGTCGCTATCCATCCTTAATATCCGGAAGATATTAGAAAACAAAATTTATATGAACCTCTATCAGAATGTGTGAGAAGGAAAACATAAGAATTAAAAAAACGAAGGTTCGAGATTTAAATGAAAATGAAGCGTGCATACATCCGCAACATAGCGGTCGATTATATGCGACACAACCTAACCTTCAATTATCTACTTTGGTTATATTGTAAAGTCTACGCAGGAAGTTTGCCACTCCCTAAGTAGATTATATCTGTAACCACTGGACTTTATGTATTAGTAATATGTCCTGACTCTGAATGACTGACGAAATCAACGTAGAACCTTATACACAGGTGCATAAGCACAAGTTGCCACACTTCACGGTAATATGCAAAGAAAAGGTGAGTAGGAAAAGAGTGGCGTCAAAGTCAAAAAAGTTGTGAGAGAATAAACAATCGAAGGACAACGGGTAGTGTAAGTATTCAAGTTTTGGAAGACGTGAAACCGTGAATAAATCTGTACCACTGTGACCAATTAGCAACCATGTCACTCGCAGTCCTCAACTATTAATTCCTACCGTCTCAGGGACCCCAGTCTGATGGTCTACACCTCCCCACATGGCTCAGACTAACAATCAGGCACTTCGTCGACTAATGCCACGTCTTGGTTTGGTCACCCTGAACCCTCTTCCAACTTCTCCTAGCATGGCACATGAAGGTAGATGTTGACTCGGCATGTGCAGTACATGTCAAAGCGATCTCAGTTGACTAAGGTTCACAACGTAATCAATCAACTTGCCAGTCTTGGTTAGTACTCTGCGCCTGACTTTTACTGACCTTAGTTTATTTCAAGCTAGTTCTGATTTAGTTAATATAGCACAAAAAGGTGTATAGGGGTTTGCCCAACTTCTGAAACAACCAATCAGACTTTGGTATTTCACCTGGGAAGATAGTTTTCCATAAAATAGACAAATGCAGTTGTTTATACCAGTAGTTCTTATGATGACCTTTAAACTTCACTCCAGGCTAACAACTTTAGCAACTGACTTGATGCTATCAGCCTAACTTTACATTACAGACAGTGATTCCAGCACAAGTAAGCTAAGGTCTCTTAAAGCATAGAATAAGTTTCAATATATGATGAATGTAATGTTGTATGAGATTAGATCTTTATTTTGCATTATCAATGGTGGATAGATGATTCATCAACAACCGTTGCTATTCGCAGTACTGCGAAGATCTAATATTGTTTTGAAGGATGTTAATTCCATGCAGTCTGATAGAATTCTAGTCAACAATTCATTATGAGAAACACGTTACCGATTATACATAACTAGACGGCAGTTTCAGAATTTTTCTGTGATATCTTCTTAAACGATTTTTTGGGTAGCTCTAAGGACTACTCTGACAACTACTGAAGTAACCAATTAGAGTTTCGTATATCATGAAAAAACTTTTCAGTCGTTGTTAGGGTAGCTTTTAAAGCCACTCGCTTTTTTGCCACATAGAAGAAATAAATATGCAAATCATTGTTGGACATTAAAAGAAATTAACACAAGATCTCTAAATCTAGATGTGATAGGCTAAAGCAAGGGAAGTACACTTATATTAGGCCAAATATTTTTAGTATTGAGGATGGATAGTGTCTACCACTAGTGGAATCCAGTACTCACGTTTCGTCTTATTTGAGACTTGACAGCTGGATGTACCTGCTTCCTAATGGGCAGTGATGTTGTCCCCACCAGGACTCGAACCTACGACGAATCACTGCAAACACCAGAGCGCCATCCACTAGGCGACTGCGTCGCCATAGATAATTCTTGTGCAACGGAGCATCTGTACAGGAACCCATATGTTAGTAGTGGCTGATCCATCCGGTTTAATCAACGACGGGAAATTACGAACCATAATACCTAGATTCTATTTAGTAATTTGCATTATTTCGCAACCAATTTTTACAAGCTTTCTTCCAACCCGTTAGTTATTGTGTTCATGCTTTGTCGTTCCAAAAAGGGTAGTCAATTAACTTTATGCTTCAACTTTGTAGCCTGAATGGTGTTGGAAAGCATTGCGGATATGTTGCTCAGCTGTATAAATTCATTTACCTCCAAACCTAGATCAAAAGGGTTTTGAATACTGCATCCTGTGTTCACTTCATTCTGTGAATTATAAACGTGAGAAAAACATAGACAAATACAGTTGTATTGAGAAAACGAAACATATAGAAAGCCACAATTATGTAGTGACGTTAAACTTATATTTTGCGGCTACCAGTTTAACCGCATGATACAAGTCAATCAGTTTATTTTCGATTCTAACAATACTAGGAGAAAATAGATGAAGGAAAAGAAAACAATTCACTCGTCTCTTGTAGGGAAAAACTCGTTAACATACTAATATACCGATCACCCACCGTGAGTGGTGGTGAACAGCAAAGGCTAAGAAGATGGGGTAGGCCACGGCGATAGGCAACAGTATACAATTATTTAGATTGATTGAAGAAACTTCGATACAAGAGCCAACTGTTACTGGGACTATAACAGAGAGGGAAGGCTCTGCGATTCACTGGTTGAAAATACGACTATAACGATTGGTGGGACACTTTGAAGAACAGTTCAGCTGGCCTCCAGTTATTATTTGATCGCCCACTACCCAGTCAAATCCTAAATAGAACA